CACAGCAGACAATTCTGAGGCATGAAGCCCAGGCCTTTGTCACTGGGGCCGCATTTGATTGTCCAACTAATGCATTCGTGCAGAAAGTCTGCGAGCGATCTCTCTCTTTTCATGAGAAGAGGCAAGGATGGGAGGGGATCCACGGATCCCGGATCCCAAAGCTGCGCAGTTAACAGACAGGTTTAAAGGCATCATTTGCAAAGTAGGGCTTGACTGTTCCTGCTTCTCGAGAGCGTGACTGAATTTCCTAGATGGTTTCAAGGGAGGAAAGACGTTGCACCGGGCCCTGCTGGACCAGACGTGGGCCCGGGTGGACACGGCTCCTAGAGGGCAGGAGAAGTAGGAGGGCGCGGGTGAAAGCTACGCAACGCCTTCTCCACCCAGCCACCGGCAGAGCCCGTGGCGGGAAGCGCGGGACGCGGTGTGTGCGTACGAGGCTGGGGAAGTGGGCAGGCAGCCCTGCGAGGAAGAGAAAGCGTCGGGTAGGAAGGGGCAGGCTGGGGTTAATCGTGGGAGGAGCTGTGGCAAGACCGGAGAACCCCGCCCGGAGCTGGGGAGGCGGCGCGCCGGGGTGCGGGGGAGCCGGGGCGCTGGCGAACGCGCTGCTGGGAAGAGCGCGCCGTCGGGCTTACTGGAAACGCGCCGGATCAGGTTCCAGATCAATGAAATCTGGGTCCACACGTTTACGTTATTGTTGCCAGCATTAATGCTCTTTTAATCTTCTAAACATTATCAGCATCGATCTCCCTCCATATACACATTTGTTTGAGAAAGCGACATAACCACACGGTGGAAAGTCTGAAATAAAAATAAATGCGCGGCCGCTCGTGTCGAGGGCGCCGGGCGGCCTGGTCTAGTCTCGCGCGGCTTCGCTGGCCTCCCTCGCGTCCCGCCGCCTCCGCCCGCTCCCGCTCACCCTCTAAAGCGCGTTAGGGAGGCGTCTTCGAGGCACTTCGGGCTTGACCAAAGAAGGACAGTGGCGAGGGCGTCTAAATTATTAATATGACCAGGCAGCGGGCGAAAATATGGCGTGTTCCGTATCGACGTGGGTTGCCTGCGGCCTCTCGGGCCAGGATCCCTAACTAAACTACAGCCAGAGATGGGCTGAGCTGGGCAGGGAGCCCTGGGGGAGGGGGAATTGGGGGTCTGTGCATGGAGTCCCCGCCCTCCCCACTCCCCACGAGCGCAGCCTAATATGTCCCCGCTGGGCAGGAGACACGCTGGCAGCGGTGGCCCGAGCAGGAGCCACGGAGCACTGACCTTCCTCATTGCGCGGCCACGGCCCGCCCGTGGCCCCGGCAACATCTAGGTGGGTTAGTGAAGGGCCCTCCGCTGTCTGAACAGAGCTGGCTCCCGACTGGGAGTTGCTGCCTGGAGCGGGAAGCGTCTGTGTCTGTTCCTCGCGGAGACCAGAGGCAGTCCCCGAGCAGAGCACTCCGGGAGCCAGGGTTACAGGTTTGCTGTCGAGGGCTCTGCTCTGTCTTCCCCGCGTTGGAGGATTCACTCTTGCCACGGAGGCCTCGATATGCCTCCGCGGGACGCCCATCCAGGTTCTCGCCTGAGCTCTCGCCATCTTTGTTCGCGCTTGTTCTTGGTTCAGGGGCTTTTCCCGGTGGGCTCCAAGCGGGAGACTGCCGGTTCTCGAACGCGCGGGAGTTTGTCCTCGCAGCCTCTAGCCCAGTTAATAGAAACTGCCCCGCAGGAGCCAGCCTTGGAGAACCTCTGAAGAAGCCCGACTGGGCGCAGTTCCGAACACTTGCTGCCTTGCCGCCCTTGCCCAATGAAACAGCGCACTTGAAGTCCATGTCTCAGAAATCAAACGCTGGAGCGAGCTGAGTTTCCCGACCTCTTCTCCCGTCCCCCTTTGAAACGCTGCCTTGGGCTGTGGGTACACGGAAGCGGCGGGCGGGAGGAAAAGGAAGGACTTGCTTCTCTTGTGACCTTGCGTACTTCATCTATTGGTCAGGTTTGCCGGTGATGGCCCAAATCAGACACCTTAATTCTGGGGTGCCTCGAACGCCTGCCTGCTTGGTCCTCTAGCAGGACCCAGGGGGCCCAAAATGAGAAAGAGAAAGGGAAACTGAAAGGAAATACATAAAAAGAAAAGGCCTGGTCTGTACGGGGCATTTGGGGTGCCACTTCTTTCACGTGTGGGGCTGAAGACAGGCGCGGTCGCCCTGTGGAGCTACTTGGACTTTTTTTTTTTTTTTTTAACTCCCCTGACCCCCGCAGCCCGAGAGAGGGAAGGCGCGGGTCCTCAGCGACACGCTGGCTGGCGGGGATTCCGATCGATACTCCAGGCGGAGAAGCCCTCGCTTTTCTTCTCCATTTGCTCCTGTCCCTTAGCGCTCCGGAGTACATAATACCTACTTACCAATCCCGGCTTCTGTGTCAGTGTCTGAAGAGACTGATCTACTGACCCCAAACTGAAAAGCCTTCTATGTAATAATAAGCACTCAACATGCTTGTAGTTGCTGATAAAATGACCAGATAAAAAGGCTAAAGCTCTTGTCCCTTTTCAACTTGGAGTAATAAAACAGACACACATTTGAATGCTTGAGCAAAATGGGGTCCTCAGCAGGAATTTCCCACTCGCTGGAGGAAGCTTTCAGTCCCCCTCGTAGGTGGTTTCAACTCTTCCTCCCCGGAACTGCCGGGAGTCATCTGGGACTCTCCCGGGATGGGTGGTGGGACCGGGGAACCCCGGAGACGCCATACTTGTCCTTCAATCCAGTGGTGCCTGGGGCCATTGCAAACGCTGAGAAGCGCTAACAGGTAAAAGCATTACTCGCCCCATCACTTGCAGATACAGAGGCAGGAAGGCACGTGTTTCCCGCCCCCTCCCCCCCTGTCCTGTCCGACACAGGCGTGAGAGGGGTGGCCGCACTCTGAGTTGCGCTGGAGCAGAATAGCTGTCCTCCTGTCTCTAACAGTACCCCCCAAAGACCAGCTGCCACGTTCCTTCTGGCCGCCCAAGTCCAGGAAGCCAGCACGTGCTAGAGCTCGCCAGCGAGAGGACGGGATGGGGGGGCGGGGAGGTTGGTAGTGGCTAAGACAAAAGGGAACCACATTGTTGGTATAGTAATATAATAATAATCAGTAAGCCTCCAATTTATTCCTCACTGGTCCTCTCTATTCACTGCTTAATCTTTGCTAGGAACCAAGAGCAAATCAGAGAAAAATAGAGGAGAGAATGAAGAGTAAACTAAAGGAGAGAAAAAGTAGATTTCTAAATCCAAGCAAAAGCACTTGGGGTGCACCGATCTGAAGAACGTCTTTAGGGGAAAGCTAATTTTTGTCTTCTCAGATCAACACTGAGGGTCGTGGTGGGGGGGGGGGGACGACTAGAGGTAGGATCCCTCCAACAGCCGGCACTGCAGGCTGAGGTGGTCAGATCGGAAACGCCCCCTCCCCAGACATGGGTGAAAATGCTCCCTGTCACATCCCTCAGCTCTGTCCGGCGTAGAACACACAGAAGCCAGGCTCAGCGGCGCAAGGAATGCCCAGGGACGCTGGAGAGGAAGCCGGAGCTCTTCCTTCAGCTCTCCTCTCCGGAAGCGCGTAGTGTGCGGCTGGCTCAGATACTCGAGCGTCCCACTGTCCTCGCCTATGTAAATCACTGCCACCACGACTTGTCTGTCCCCCTGATGGCCCACCGATCTCCAGAGATCGCCCAGTCCAAGAGAAGCTGCCCAACCCGGTTTGCAGTAGGGTACCGTGTGTCTTCCCCAATGGGGTGCTTGGACACTTCGCCCCTCTGAACTCGGGCCTGGACCCGGGGGGCAGCGCAATTGCCACGCGCACTGCGCTGGGTCTGTGCGCACAAAAGCGCGCAACTGCGTGCCAGTCACAGCCACTGCCGCGTTTTTCTTCTCGGCTCCCGCCGCCCACGCAGGAGGTGTCTGTGCTGCTAGAACAATAGAGGGGTGTACCTCGCGGCTCGGCCGCTAGAGGAGGCACAAAGAGCCAAGCCGGCTCCAGAACAATGTAACCAGCGCGTCAACTGGTCCCCTCCCGCGGGCCGCCAGCCCTCCCCGCCGGGCTACGCGCACAATCAGCGTCCGCTTAACGCAAAGGCGGAGCCTGTAGCTCGCGGACGAGACACGTTAACTAACCTGCGTCTTAATTTCTCCGCACCTCTTTCCGCAAGCACCTCACCTCCCGTTGAGCCCAGCCAAACCTCAGCAAATCCCGGCAAACACTCAGAGCGGGGCAAGGGTGGCTGGCAAGCGACGCACAGCGCTCCATTCTTAGTTTCTTTTTCCCCGTCCTCCCAGAGGTGAATGAATGTGGCAGACCCAAACTTCGTCCTTGCACTCTCCCCTTGCTGTAGACAGTGACACGGGAGCTGGCTCAAATAGGCTCTTTGGGTTAGAAAGTCCCCGCGCCAATGCCAAGGCTGGAGAAGGGCGCAGGAAGCAGCACTGTTACAGTCTGGCTACCCCGTTCCCGGCACGGGCAAGGCTGTGACTCCTGCCATGACCAAAGAAGTTTGCCTGATACGATGGGTAGGAGAAGAGAGAGATCTTTTTCCCTTCGTAACAGCAAAGGCCCTTAACTGCCTCCCTATAGGGAGGATAGGCAGCCTGGAAAACTGAAATGTATTGTCTAAGCAAGAGTTCAAGTGCACAGGGTTTCGAATAAGGGCAATACTGGTCTCCGTGAGTCCTGGAAAGAGAGGGCTCCTAGAAGACACCAGCCGCCCCTTCCCGCCTCAGAAAGAGAGGGCAAAGTTGGCACATTAAGGGGTGGGCTAATGAAGTGTGTGTGTATGGGAGGGGGGAGGTGGTTGATGGAAGCCGGTAGACAAGGAGGAAGGGAAGGTAAAAAAATAAGAGGAGGAGGAGAGTTAAGAGAAAATAAAGTCAAGAACAAATAGGAAGTGTGTAGGAGACAGTAGGAAGGAACCAAGAGAAGTTCTAGGCACGCTGACCTGGGGCCACGAGCATCCCCACGCTCTCCCCCCAGCAGCCTGGCTCCAGGTGACCCTCTGCGCTTACCTGCCAGGCGTAAGGCGGACATGCGCTGGAACTCCGGCTCCTGCAGCCACTTCCACATCCTGCGGAAGGTCTCCCTGCCAGATTTGAGTTTACTCCACGGTTTGGGGTTCCGGAGCAGGTCGGAGAGAGTCCCCTGAGACCGGCACAGCACCCTCTGCGCGAAGATCGCCTGCGGAATGCTGTAGCGCTTCAGCTCGGCGGTGATGCGCTGGGCCACCTCTTTGGTGTTGATCTCCTCCAGCTGGCCGGATGTGGCCACTTGCGAGCCCGACGAGGATGAGGGTGGACGCTCGCGACTGGGTGCCAGCACCGGCCCGTGGGACTGAGCGTGACCGGGGTGGTGCAGGCCATTGAGGTGCGACATCATGGCCGCGGGCGGGGTGCCCAAGCCCCGGGACAGGTGCTGCTCACCGCGGGTCAGCATGGCAGTGTGGTGCGCGTCGAAGTTGGGGCTGAGCATTTTGTCGTGGCCCGGCGGCCCGTAGTTGGGCAGGCTCTGCTGCGCGTTGTGGAGGCCACCCAGCCCGTTGCCCAGCGGCGTGGCGGCGAGAGGGGACAGGCTCTGGCTCATGCCGGGCATCTCCTTGTAGGGGCTGTAGAGATTGTTCATGGCCGGGAGCCCGCGCTCGTCGCGCATTAGGGTGAAGCTGCCGCTGACGTTGCCCGACAGGCGCTGGTGGTGGTGGTGGTGGTGGTGGTGCGGGTGGTGGTGAGGGTGCGGGTGGTGGAACTTGTCCGACACGGTGGAAATGGGCGGCAGCGGCTGGAGCGGCGTCAACGTAGTGTAGGTGTTGCTCATGCCCATGCCGGGCGGGGACGAGTCGCAGGACATGCTCATGGCATGATGGAGCGGGATGGAGAGCTCGGGCCGGTAGTCGCCGCCGTCCAGGATTGAGGCCATGCTAGTGACCATGGCCGAACGCGACGCCGCCGCCGCTGCCGCCGCCGCCGTGCCCAGCTCCTGGTGAGCCGCTGGCGGCGGCGGCGGGCCCCGCAGTGAGCCAGCAGCGCCGCGGCCCGCGTGGTGGGGGCTGGGGCTGGCCAGCAGCTCCTGCTCATGTCCCGGGCCCCCGCCGCCGCCCCCGCCGCCCCCGCCGCCGCCCCCGCCGCTGCCGCCGCCGGCCGGCCCGTGTAAAGTGCCCAGACTTTCCATTGTCAGCTCCGGGTTCATGGCGCAGCCTTCTAGTTCTTTGGTGAGGCATCGATAGGCGGTGTAGGCAGCCTTCATTCAGTCCATCGGGGCACGGGGGCGGCGGGGACGGCCGGCGGGCTGGCAAGGCGCGCGTGGCGGAGCTCGGCCGCGGGAGCAGGGGAGGGCGCGGGAGTGCGTGAGTGTGTGGAGGGGGAGCGTGCGTGCGGTGTGCGCCCCGGGCTGCGGGCGGGCGCGCCCGGGGTGGGGGCGGGGGTGGGGGCGAGCAGGGCGTGAGTGCGGGAGAGGAGAGGGGCGGGGAGGGAGGGAGGGATCACCGAGCCCCACCGCTCGGGCCGGCGCGCTGCCCAGCCATGTCCCAGCCCGCTCCGGCGCCGACGTCTTCTGTTTGGGTGAGCGGGAGCTGTCCAGAAGGGCTCTGCCGCTGGTCGGGGCAGCCAACCTACCCTCCCGGACCTGGGGCGGGGCAGTGCCCGATGAGCGTTGCTAATAGCCACTCAGAGGACAAGGCTGGCTCGGGGGGCGGGCCTTATGGGCGAATCTCCCAATGGCTTAGGAGGGGGTGGGGCTGCGCGTTTCATGTTTGGCTGACGGCTCTGTGTCTTTTTTTTCCTCCAAAGCCGCCGGAATCAAACGTCAAGGAGAGGGAGGGAGGGGAGAAGGAGTAGGGCGGGGTGGGGGCTGGGACGGGGGGGCGGGTAGAGGCGAGAGTGCGAGCGAGGGACCGAAATCGTGTTGAAGATGCCGCGCCGTGTCCCTCTGGAGCAGCTGTGATCTGGGGGTAAAGGGCATTGCTTCTATTCCCTTTGCCTCACCCGAAAGCTTCAGGTCGAGGCTGGGAAGCTGGGAGGAAAGGACTCCACTACTTGCTGGTGTGAAAACAAACACGCGTCTCCTAGCACACCACTTTCTAAGCGTCCCTAGCTGGGAGCCAGTAGTTTTTAGCCGTTTAAAATGCAGGCACTAATGTATTCTAATGCAGGGTAAATCCCCGAGACCGGGGCGTGCATAATCTACCGGGCCAGCGGAACTCCAGCGCCCTCGCCGCCTGTGAGCGGCGGCCGGCGGACGCAAGCCCAGGCTCGGGCCGGGCCGTGGCAATGCATGCAAAGTTAACACAATAACATCATTTAATTACCCGGCGAGCCCATAAATCTCCCAGTTATGAGGATTCAGAAGGGCCCTGCTGGATTGCAAAACAAAACGAGAACCCCAGGAGCTGCGGTTTCAAGTGACCAAATGCTTTCCTCGTTAGATTCTTGGAAAGCACGGGCGGTGGTGGTGTTGGGGGTGGGGGGGTGTCGCGGTGTTGCGGCAGGACTGCTGCTGATGCCTGTAGTGGGCAAACTTCTCCAGGGGGCAGGGAGTATGCAAATCGTCTGGGACGGCACCCGTGAACCTTTCCCCAAACACGGACGCACACACTTCTTTCGAATTCCGGGAGAGGCACGCCCCGGGTTAGGGCTGTGGGTACATGCCGGAAGCCCAGACAGACCTCCAAACCTTGTTTCTGAGAAGACCAGAGCCCGGGCGAGTTCTAGGACGCTCGCAAACCGCAGCTTTCAAAAGTACATCTTCTTTTACCTAGAATTTCCATTGTTCAGAAACCCCGGGTCGGGGACTAGGAGTGAAGCGGGGTCTAGAGAAGGTGCAGATTTCTGCGGCCGGGGTTGGGGGTGGAGAGGTGGCTGAAGACAGTGAGCCACCCGACACTGAAAGCCTTGAAAGTAACAGATTCTTCCAAAGAACGTTGCGCTCTGTTTGCCTCCGAAGATTCAAGCTAGCTGAGGTTGCGCAGATGTTGTCTTTGTTTAAAGAGACAGTAATTAAGGACAGGGTGGACATAAGTTTGAGAAGCGTGACCTATTTTCTTTTGATCAGCTGTCAAAAGAAGAGCAGGAGGTCTTCTTAAGACAGCCCCCTCCAACCACTTCCAGCTGTTAGAGAAAACTTGATAAGAAAACAAGGACACTGCCTGGGATACTGGATGTGCCTTCCAGGCGCTTGAGAAAGGTTTGAAAATAGTTCTTAGTCTTCCTGACCTCTTGTAGTTGCTCTCCTCCCTTCTAGCTACACAGACACCCCCCCCCCCGCCCCTGCCAAACCCACCCCTTCTAAACTATCCTGTCACATGAAATGTATAATGACGTTATTCATAGGTCTACTATTGAGTTCTGGACAATACCTTGCCAATTATTTTTTCAAATAGCTGCTGCTTTGTGATTTCAAAGCTTAGGTAAGAAAGTGGACGATTCCCTGTATTGCTAGACATGCTTTTCTGGATGCTCACAACTCTAATGTCACAGCGCTGGAAAGGTAAAATAACTAGTTTTCTATTCTCTGCCTTTCATCTTTCCCCTCACCCTCTCCTACTGTCTTCCGACTGCCCACCTTATATATGGCGTCCAGACACTTGGGATAATTTGAAACAGTTAATGTTTGAAATACACACTGAATTGAACAGAAGTTCCTAGGAGTGCAGTCTCCTTTTGGCCCAGGAGTACTGAGAGGCTGAACTGGAGTAGCAGAGGGGCAAGCTGGGGAAGGAGCCTGCCTGCTGTGCCCTAGTGCTGATCGAAGCCTTCTCTGCCCTGGCTCCCGGCTCAAAGAATGGCCAGTGACCCCAGCCTGTGACATCTATAGGCACTGCCTCTACCCAGAAAACCAAATATATAAATTGCCATTTAAATACTTTTTTTTTCAAAATGATAAACTCATTTACCAGGCTACCAAGGCAAATCTCCTGGGAATTGCATTTCAGTGTGCCTGGGAGCAGTCACGTGTGGGGGAGTTGAAAGGTGAGTCGCATATTCTCCTGCCTGGCTCCCTCCCTCCCCCTCCCTTTCTCCTCCCTCTCTCCCTCCATTGCTCCCCCTTCCCGCGATCAATATTGGCGATCTCAGGGAAATCATGAAATAGTATTGGCTTCTTTGTGTATAATTTCATTGGGCTAGATTAAAGCAGATTTTTTCACGTTTTTTTCTAATGGTGGTTTGAGGTTTTATATTTCAACCAAAAACCCACTTGAAAGGAAAATTAATGTGCATGTTTTGTCAGCATCTCAATTTTTACTGAATTAGGTTTGCATGCCCTCCTCCCTTTCTTTCTAAAAAGGGAAAATATTTTCTACCTGAAGATAATTTTAAGAACATCAGTACTAGTAAGATTTTCAAATATGTTTTGAAATATCTTCGGTGTTGTATTTCTGTATCGTTCTTTAAGAACACATACTCTAAGCTTCACAAGTTTGGCGACTCAGGATTTTTTTCTTTTAATTTGAAGTTACACTCTTGTTCTCTCCTCCCTTTGGTGTTTGGTTCACACAAATAAACTGTATAGAAATTTGGTAGCAGGAGAGCTAGTTCTTGATTATTAGAACCTGGACAAACAGTTGCACCAGCCATTATATCAGGAGAGGGACGTGCATTTCTTGGTGCTCCACATCCACAGGTCTGATTTTCTTTAAGATCAGACACTTAAATGGGTCAAAAGAAGCCTCTAAATAAAATGCAGCTTTGATGACAAATGTAAGCTATTGTACTGCAAAGGAAAAAAAAAATCTGAACTTGAGTTAGCAATTGCAGGGAAAGACTGGAAATTTTTACTGTTAGAGCTTTTCATGTGTTTTCACATTAATTTGTTGTTGTTTTTTTTTTTTTTTTTTTTTTAGGCTCTAAGAGGAAGAAAACAGTGGACATTCAATTAAAACAGAGACCCTATAAATTATTCACACACACAAAAAATAAACAGACCACAAGTAAACCCGGTCTGGAAAAGGGGCCCAACAGCTTTGTTTTCCCCAAACGACAGTAACCACAACCCAAACCCGGGGAAAGAAGAGGAAGGCTGCTGATTTTCACCCAAATGTTCAAAATGCTGAGGGTTTTGTGTTGAGCAGAACATATTTGTGCTGCATCTAGATGTATCAGAGCAATACAAAAAGACATAATGGTGGGTTGATTTGAACTATTTTATTTTTGTCCTTCCCCAAACCATCTGGCGTGTGAGTGTAGGGGTATTGATCAGGATCTGTGAGCTGCAGACCCCATGCCAATCTATAGCGTTTCTGGCAATCAGCATCGCCCATGAATTGCAGCTGTCTGTGCAGCTCCCGAACAGAAATCTTCAAAAAAGTCCCCCCCCCCTTATCAAACACATCATCCGTTCAGGGGTAAGTCAATATCTTTTCTTTGTCATTCTGTGAGCCAGGATTATGCAGGAGAAAGTTTTTTGTTGTCTGTTGTAACTGCTGCTGCTGCGCCTGCCCCCCACCCCTTTTTAAAGGAAGGAGAGCAATTTTCTAGGCATTGAATGGTAATGGTTTTCCAGAAAGGCCTCAAGCGTTAGTATGAATCGCACAACAAATGCTGTTTAAATATTGTGGGGGAATTCAAATAGGAGGGAGAAATTCTTATGTTGCTATACACAAATAAGAAGTGATAATAGAGGGACCTTTTTAATGGTGCAGAATTTTCTCCCCCTTTTCCGGAGCCCCTGGTGATGAAGACACCCCCAAGTCTCTGGGATTACACTTGCAGATGGACAGTGGGTGCTTGTGGCGCAAAAGGAGCCTTCGGAATTGTGGCTCTGTTTGATATCTCCATTAGCTTCAATTTTCCTCTGTCCGAAAGCTCCGACTAGTTGAACACGGGGAAAAGGAAACTAAAACCAGAGCCCCACGAACTCCTGTTCACCTCTCAGCTCAGAAATTCACTGATACATTTCAGATTCCAGTTGAATCTAGGAAAGTTAAAAAAAAAATTGTCCAGGCAGTGAGACTGAAACGGTCCTTTTCCGTAAAATGTCAAGTTGATTGGCCGAGCTGGTAAGGAACTGACGACCACCCTTAACTTCTTGGCTACAAAGGACACCGTGCGCCGGGGTGGGAGGAGAGCTGGAGTTTGTTAGTGTTCTTTCCACCCTTTACTGGCCTCTTTGGAGAAGAAAATGGAGCGACGCGAGCCCTGCTCGCCCGGGGAGCGCTGTCTTAGAACCCCAAGCCCAGTGCCTGGGTGCGGGAGTGGGGAGTGGGGCTGCGGGGTGCCACCGGCGTGGTGGCTGGCCTGGGGCGGAGCCCA